GGTTGAGCCTCACTAAAGCTGAAGAAAAAAAACTCAAATTTCTTTTCTTCCATGTCTTTTTTCTAGGTTATGATCTACATGGAAAATAAGCAAAAAGGATAATGGTGTTGATAAGCTAAAGTGAGCTAAATAACCAGATTTTGGGCTATCGTACCCTAAAATCTGGAAATCAGACATACAGCAGAATAATGTAGATAATTTAAAAATAATTACCCCAATAAAGATTAACAATGAAGGCAGTGAGCTTAGAGGCCCTTACCAACTTAGAAAATCACCAGGAAAAGGAGACCCCTCCAAACTGTGACTCACTCCAGGGATTGGTCTTGGGGGGGGTTGACTGGCTTCTTGAATTTTCATTTCATTGTGATACCTGGCCCAAAGATATGGCAGACTTTGGGAATGGTCCCTGCATGATGTCACATGCTCCTGGGTCCTGACTAATGGATTTTCGGAACCTGCTGTGGAAATGCCCGTGATAGAACCTATCCCTGGACATGCAGCATCATAAAAATTACTCGTGTAACATAAATAACAGGAAGAACAACAGGTTAAAAGGTTTCCTTCCTCTCCTCAGATATCTGTTCTCCTGGAGACCAAGCCCACCGGCCACATACATGTTTTGCTTGGGAGAATGTGACTGCAGGCACAGTGGGGACTGGTTTTATCTTCTCCTGTAACAGATCAATTAGCAAAATCAACAAGACTACTGTAAGCTCCTTCCTGTAAGGACACTGTCTGACATGGGACTGAAAGCTTAGAGGATTAATTTGATAAGAAATAAAACACTTTGGCACAGAAAATTCTCTATTAAGTCTTTATTGAAAATGTTTCCATTTTAGCAAAATAACCCAGGAAGAAACCTAGACGGACTACTAAAACCAAGAAATTTGACCTCAAGATAAGAAGAAAAAAAGATACCTTTTTTGGGGAGTTGGGGGGGCTAAACAACAGAAGTTTATTGCCTTACAGTCCTGGCATCTAGAAGGTCTGAAAGCAAGGTGTCTACAGGGTTGGTTTCTTGTGAGGGTTGCGAGCAAGGATCTGTTCCAGTCTTCTCTGTAGGTGTCTGTCTTCTCCCTGTGTCTTTTCACATCATCTCTCTCTTTGTGTCTATCTCTGTGTGAGCAAAATTCTTTTTATAAGGACACTCATCATATTGGTTTAGGGCCTATCCTAATGACCGCATTTTATTTATTTATTTATTTATTTATTTATTTATTTATTTATTTATTT